CTCTTTTAGGGGTCAAAAAAAGCTTTGGCCACGCCCAGATCGGTCTTTTTTAGGGGTTTAATTCAAAATTTATGTATTCTGTTATTAGTATTTACGGTGAGTTTTTTTACATGCCCAGATTCATTTACCTTTCCATAACCAGCTTTATCGTTGTCTTATGTCAAAGGACCGTAATGCTAACGCTTGCGAGTGAACAAACTTGAGCGCTTAAAACTTCCTCGGAACTATAGAAGGCTAGCAAGCTTATTCGAGAAGAACAGACTACTTCCATCACTTTTCTGTTGCTCAAGTAATAATAATCAAGGTAATTTTCTTTTTTCTTTTTTCATCTTTAATTACGTAGTTTTGTTTTCTTTCTGTACGCAAATTTTCCTTTTCACTCGCTGTGAAGTAGCTGAGAACGACAACTGGCGGCAGTGGCTTCAAAACAATTAACTCTTTGCCCGTAAACAATTGCTGGAGCTGGATTTCACTGAAGCGAGCAAAACAAACCCTTATGTGCAGTTTTGTGTACTTTCTAATGATTCAGTTTGCTGAGTTTAATTTGCTTGAATGAAGACCCTCGCATGGACCAGTTTTTAAAACTAGCTAAATGGTGAATCATGGCTCGGGTGCGAAGCTTGCAACTGATCTTTTGCTTTTAAGATCTTTAGGTAGGTTATTTCGGACAGAAAATTCACTTCTTCATTGTCAGCAGGTATAAGAGCCTTAAGCCTTATGTTTTTTGACTGGAAATTTGTTCTTTTGCAACCTTATTGAAGCTTTTTTTAGTTCACTTAAGCTGAATTTTATGCATGATGGAATTGTTCTTTGCTTGTCGCCTCTCTTTGCGAGCTTAAAGTGGCGTCTATGGTCCTTAAAGTGACCTCAGTCGGTAATTAAATCATATACATAACTGGAGACAAGGTTTTGCAATAATGCAACTTCAACTTTGTTTGAAGAAAATCTTACTTGGTTTTTGAGAAGTGTTATGCATGTTCAACTTGACAACACAGTTGAAAGCAAACTTTATGCGCGAAACGATCAAGTTTAAAAAAACTGTAGTTACGTTGAAACCGATTTTGGGGAAGATTTTACTAGATAAAGATTAACTCTTTTTCTTCCCACGTATCAACGCCAAAACTTCTACATGGAGGATTTTGTTTATATTTTAATGTTCAGCGAAGCACAAGTGTCCGATCGAGCGTGGGTTTTAAAATATCAACTCGAGTGCGACAAAGTTCAATGACTTCAAAGACCCTTCAAACACATTGTGGGCAAGCGTGAATTTCTTTGGGCAAATTACTATGCAAGGATATTTTGTTCTTGTGTCCATAGTGGAGCTCCGGACCTTATATATCCAGAAAGGTCTTTATATGAACACATTTTGTGAATAAATCTTGAAAAAAATTGGACCTACGCACGCACATTTCCAGTACAGCGCAAGGAAATTAATGCCGTTGTTAAAGTCTGTTTTACTGTGATGTATTCTTCGAGAGAATTAAATAATAAGGTTATAACCACAGCTTGCAACTTTTGAAGTCAAATTGCTTGTTCCCTCTAGGTTTATGGCCGCACAAACCACCACAATTTCTGCGCCAAATCGACTCGAAAACCCTGTTTTGAATTTCCCGCTTTTTTTCACCTGACCAACATTGACGTCACAAGCTGTTTTTACCGACAGTTTTTCCGACCGCTCTACGAAGATAAGGGCCAAAAAATAACAATTTTTAATTGCGAATATCTCGGAGATGCTTGCTTCAATTGAGCTGAAACTTCATACTATGTTTATTCGGTTCATATTAAACATATTTCACCAGAATTGAACTAAAATAAAAAATGCCGAAGTTTTGGTTCATTTGACCTTTAAGTCAAGAATGAAACCAAAAATTAATTGTACGCATGTAGAAATAAAGGGGGTGTTACTCGACCAATATTTGGTTTAGCTGAGCCGCTGAGGGTTTGTAACCCTGACCCTGTTTAGGACCAAAAATTCCTAAAATACATACCCTGTTTATGACCCTGTTTAGGACCACGGACAAGTAGTCAACTGTTCAGGAAAAGCTTGCTACAAATTGTATACCCTGTTTAGGACAGACTCGCGCAAAATTATATACCCTGTTTTGTCCTGTTTAGGACAGAGAGGACAAAAACCATACCCTGCCCAGCGGCACATTCCCGTATAGGCCATATAAGGGATTAACCTACCAACCCCCCCCCCCCCCCCCCCCCCCCCCCCCCC